TTGTTGGGTCAATTCTGTCTCCCTCCCTGATTTCTAGGCAGATTGATGAGTGCTGGAACCCATCCTGATCCTGCCCACCCCACACTCAGCCCTCACGCAAGTCAGTGGAAGTTACAGCCTAGTCAGAGCGACCTGCAATAACCCCAACCAGGGATGCCCTCTGACCTGGTTCCCATGCTTGACAGTATGTACTGTAGACTGCTCCAGTCTGTCCCCAATCCCATTCTGCTCTCACACATGGGAATAGGCATTGAAGCCAAATTCAACCCAACCAGCCCAACTATCCAGCCCACACTCCTGCCTGCAGGTGCCACTCTTTGTCTAGCCGTGCCTGCCCCAGTCCTGATTCTCATGCTCATCAGCCAGAGTGACAACCCAAGAAAGAGGTGCCACTATTTCCCTAATGGTCCCGTTCCCACTCCTGGACCTTATACTCTCCAGGTGATTCTGCAGTTTAACTTGACAGAATCTGTCCCATGCCTGCATCTGCCAACTGATGCTGCGGCAAAACCCAGACAACTCACACCCACTCTGGTTTGCATATGCACCAGTAGGAATAGTCAACCCAACTTGGTTTTCCCCAATCCAACTCACATGCATGCCAACAAGTGTTGTGGCCCTGCTTGGCCTGCTCTGCTCCCATCCCAGGTCTCACGCTCTCCAGTGGGAATGGTGGTTCAGCAGGGGAGCCCCACACAGCCCCCTTACCAGGTTCACTCCTTCTCCCAGGAGTCTCACATGTGTTGGTTGGGTGCTGCGGCCCAATCTGCCATGGCATGCCTCATCTTGGGATTTGCCAGAGAATGCTATAGCCTGGCCAGACCTAGCCCAACCTGTGGAGAGCGGTGTGCCGGAGCTGACCCCGTGTGTATGATAGGCAGTCGCAAGATGGCGGCTGGCCGAGGGCCAGGAGGCAGGGTAGGTCCCGCCAGTAGGCAAACAGGAAGTCACAGGGATAGGCAGATGCCCTTGCTGAGATTATGTCATTGTTACTGGCTTATCAGGTAGCACCAAGTGTACCCAAGGGGAGAAGTGATTGGTGGAGAACTGTATGAAAACAGTCCGCTTTCGGCAATAAAGGTTCGTTCGTCTGTTCCTCAGTTCATTGGTTTGTTTGTTCATTCATGTGTGTGTGTGTGTGTGTGTGTGTGTGTGTGTGTGTGTGTGTTCTGGTTGCGGTGGTGGTTCCTGTCTTTCCAGACCCTCGAGAGTGTGCCTTATTATTTAGTGTTGCTGCTGGGTGGCAGCACCAACCCAATTCCAGTTCACCTGGCATAGTCTGAGCTGTTCCCTGTCATGATTCTTGTGCTCACTGGCAGGGACTGTGTCCTCACAGAGGAGTTCCCCAAGTTCCTCCATCAGAATGCCTCCCAAAGCCAGATCTCACACCCACTGGTGGGTCCATGGTCCAGCCCTAATTAGTCCACCTTCTGTCCTAACAGAAAGGTGCCCTTTCTTGACAAGCCCTCACCAATTCTGGTTTTTACAGTTGGGTGCTATATCCCAGCCCAGCCTGGCCTGCACCAGACACAGCTTACACATGGCTTAGCAGAGACAGACACCTAGTGCAGCTTGTCCTATACTCATCCTGGTTCTCACAAGCAGCAGTGGGTACTGTACTCTGGCCCAGCCTGGCACACCCAAGAACCAGTTCACATTTGTGCCAAGGGACACTGCAGCCATATCCAGACCAGATAACAGTGCCACTCTGGCCCTCACACTCACCAGTGGGAACCACAACCCAGTCAGGGTGTCCCCTTAGTTCCCCAATCAGTCCTATCCCCAGACATAGATCTTGTGTGTGCCAGTAGTTGCTCTGACCCAGCTTGATGCAGCCCCTCACCTGTCTTGATCTATGCCTTAGATGCTGCAGCCTGGCCTGACCTGACCTGCCCAAGTCCCAACTCTCACTAGCATGTGATAGAATATGGCTCTATCCTGTCTGTTCTCATCCATGGCTCATGCAAACCATCAGGTGTGACAGCTACTCAAGGATTATCTACATTCCTGCCTGGTTTCTGCAATTGCCAGTGGGCTAAGGTTTACTTGACCCTGCCCAGTCTGCCCCCTTCCAAAAGCAACCCACACACTTTCCAACAAATGGAACTAACTTGCCCAGCTTGCCGAAACCTAGGTCTTGACCACATGCTCACCAACAGGAACTGAGACCCCAAAGGAGAGTTTCCCAGGTCCCCCTACTCGGCCCACTCCCACATCCAGATCTCACATGTGCCAGCAGGTGCTAGGCTCTTGCCTAGCATAGCCTGCCCCTCCATCATGGCATTTGTATGAGCTGGTGGATGTTGAGTTCCGGCCCAACTCACCCTACACCCTGTTTTAGGATGCACATGCAGGTGCTGCAGCCTGGATCTGCCCAACATATTCTTGGCCCAATATCCATGAATATTGGTGAGTTCCATGATCACCCCCAGTTCAGTCCATCACCACCTCAAATCTTGAGTCAACCAGCGGGAGTTGTATTTCCACAGTGTTTGGCCCACATAGCCCCTGAAAAATCTATCCCTCGACCTGGTTCCCTTGCATGCTGCTTAGTGTTATGACCCTGCCTAATGTGATTTGTCCCCTGTTCCAACGTTCAGTCATGAACTAGGATCTAGCAAGACAGGCCCGTAGATATAGCTTTTGTGTGGCCTGGCATGTGGCAGTTAGCAATGTTCTGTGCTTACAAGCCCATCTCAGGACTCCCATGTGGGCTGGTAATCAGTCTGACCCATATAGATCTTCCAGTTTTTCCCCTCCAAACCACCAGGTCTCAGTCCCCTTTCTTACCTGCAAGTACTGCAGCCCCGTTGTTTTCTGTCTTTCAAGATTTATTGCTCACCTGCATGTATGGTGACCTTATTCATGGATGTCCATAGGCAGTAATTCCTCAATCCCAGTTCTGCAGACCTCATCAGCAGTTAACCAGTGAGCAGAACCCCGTGCTGATAGATGCCCTGGCTGCCTGAGCTAAGATAGAGCCACCTGCTTTTTTAAGTAATCGTGCCAGGCCATGCCCCCCATACCCACCAATCAACTGAAAGTGGCTGATGCAGCAGAGGTTCTGGTTTGCATGCATGGCCTGAGCTAAGATGGAGCCAGCTGCTTTTTAAGCAGTCACGCCAAGCTAAGCCCCCCCCACCAACCAACCAAAAGCAGCCCTTAGTGTGGAAGTTCCAGTTTGTATGTCTGTCCATGTCACTGCATTCTATTCTGGCCTGTAGAATTTCCTCTGAGAGGTTAGCTGTGAGTCTGGCCATCCATCTATATGGCAATGGATATTTTCAGGTGCATGTTTAAGTGTGTTTTCCTAATTTTCCACTAAAGAGACCTTGATTATCATGTGTCCTGGTGAAGATTTTTTTTTTGCTAACACTACTGGGAATTCTTTTCCCCTTCTGTACATTGTTTTCCAGTTTTTAAAATGTATTTGGGGAATTTTTATTTATTGATTCATTGAATATATCCTTTTCAAAAAATTTATTTATTTTTATAAGAAAATCCAATCTACAGGGGGAAGTTTATACAGAGAGAAAGAATTTGCATCTGCTGGTTCAGTCCCCAAGTGGCCACAATGGTCAGAGCTGAATGGATTCAAAGCCAGAAACCAGGAGCTTCTTCTGACTCCCTCATGTGGATGCAGGGTACCAAGGCTTTGGGTTGTCCTCCACTACTTTCGCAGACCACAAGTAGGGAAGTAGGGAGCTGGAAGGGAAGTGGAGCAGCTGGGATATGAACTGGTATCCATATCAGTTACTGGTGCATGGAAAGCAAGGACTTCAGTCACGAGGCTGGCATGCTCAGCCATATTTAACACAACTTTAAACACAGTCTCTTTCGGTGACTTCTGAAACTTTCATAATTCTTACACATGGCCTATTATATTCTTAATTCTTGATTTTTTTATTGTCTTGATTCATTTTCTCTTCCAGTTTTTCCTTTTTTCCCCCATTGTTGCAAAAAAAAAAATCTTCAAATTGTAAAAACCTCTCTTCTTCCTCATCCATTCTATTATTCAGGTTTTCCACTGAATTTCTATTTGATCCACTGTGTTCTTTGATAATTCAGCTTGATTTTATTTCAGTGTTTGTGCTTCCTATGACAATATTCCTTAAATTCTTTTTTTTTTAAAGATTTATTTTTATTATTTTTTATTGGAAAGGCGGATATACAGAGAGGAGAGACAGAGAGGAAGATCTTCCGTCCGATGATTCACTCCCCAAGTGAGCGCAACGGGTCGATACTATGCCGATCCGAAGCCAGGAGCCTCTTCAGGGTCTCCCACGCGGGTGCAGGGTCCCAAGGCTTTGGGCTGTCCTCAACTGCTTTCCCAGGCCACAGGCAGGGAGCTGGAAGGGAAGCGGGGCTGCCGGGATTAGAACCGGCGCCCATATGGGATCCCGGGCGTGCAAGGTGAGGACTTAACCACTTGCGCCACCGCGCCGGGCCCTATTCCTTAAATTCTTAAACTGCTGCGTGTGTTTCTCATTGTTGATAAGAAGCTTTATAACAAGTTTATAAAATTCTGCATTCCCCATTTTCTTGATGCCTTCCTCACTTAACTGAGTTTGACAAAGGCTTTTGCACCTTTTCAGGGAAGGCATCAGTGATGTTCATTGTGCCTCTGTCTCTTGTTTTGCTTGTGGTCCCTTGTGACTAGCATATCTTCACTTTAAGGCTGATCGCTGAGCTTTATCATCTGCAAGTCTACAAGTCAATTTTACTGATTGTGTCAGTTATCCAGTTTTATTTTGTTTGTTTGCAGTCATTTGTACCACTCCCTCCAGTGAGTTTCAGTCCTGGGCTCTTGTGCTAGGCTTCCACCATGGTCTCTGTATCCTGGCTAATCACGTCCCACCCCCAGTGATCCTGTGCTGTGACCACGCCTCTTAAAAGCACAGCCCTTTTCCGAGCTCCTGGCGAGGGCTCCATACCTTCTTTTTCATTCCCAGCATAACTTTACAGGGAAGCTGTCACAATGTCCAGAGCCCTTGACATCGATGAAGGAGGAGGTTGTCCTCAAGTTCCTGGCTGCAGGGACCCACCTGGGAGGCACCAACCTCGACTTCCAGATGGAGCAGTACATCTACAAAAGGAAAAGCGATGGCATCTACATCAACAACCTCAAGAGGACCTGGGAGAAGCTCCTGCTGGCAGCGCAGTCTATCGTGGCCATCGTGGCCATCATGGCCATCGAGATCCCTGCGTACGTCAGTGTGATCTCCTCCCGGAACACTGACCAGAGGGCTGTGCTGAAATTTGCTACTGCCACTGGAGCTACTCCCATTGCTGGCCGCTCCACTCCTAGCACCTTCACTAACCAGATCCAGGCCGCCTTTCGGGAGCTATGGCTCCTGGTGGTGACAGCTCCCAGGGCTGACCACCAGCCCCTCACGGAGGCTTCGTACATGAACCTGCTCATCATCGTTCTGTGCAACATGGACTCTCCTCTGTGCTACGTGGACATTGCTATCCCGTGCAACAACAAGGGAGCCTACTCCGTGGGTTTGATGTGGTGGATGCTGACACGGGAGGTTCTACGTATGAGTTGTTGGGGTCCCTTGGCCAGCAAGTCAAACCCAGACACTCGTTGTCTTTGTAGAACCTTTATTGCAGAGATGACACAGCAAAACCGGCGTGTAGCAGCCGCACAGCAGCTACACAGCAGCCGCAAGGCAGCCGCACAGCATTGTGAGGCACTCTCTCCCTTCCCATTTCTCTGGCTCCCTTATATTGGGTAACATGGCCAAACAGTGTAAAGGTCACCTCTGCACACAGTGGGCAGGCACCCCTGAGCCAATCACAGCAGACTTCCTGAAACTTGTTTTTCTACCACAGGAGGAAGCAGCAGTTCGGCGCCGTTGTAGGGTGTGGGCTGCAGGCTCCCTACATGAGTGGCACCATCTCTCATGAACACCTGTGGGAGGTCATGTCTGATCTCTACTTCTACCGCGATCCTGAAGAGATTAAAAAAGAAGAGCAGACTGCACTGAAAAGGCTGTGACCCAGGAGGAGTTCCAGGGTGAATGGACCGTCCCTGCTCCTGAGTTTACAGCTACCCAGTCTGAGGTTGCAGAGTGGTCTGAGGGTGTGCAGGTGCCTTCTGTGCCCACCCAGCAGCTCCCCACTGAGGACTGGAGCGCCCAGCCTGCCACTGAAGACTGGTCTGCAGCCCCCACAGCTCAGGCCACTGAATGGGTAGGAACAACCACCGAGTGGTCTTGAGTGATCTGCAGTCTTTGAAGCAGACATGGAGTGAAGTTCATGGAAAATAAACACCCATTTCTAAAGAAAAAAAAAAACAGCTTTTCTCCCTCTCCTCGCTTCAGTAATGACCATAATTAGAAATACCTTAACTATCCTAAACTTTTGGGCTTTGGTGTTACTGTTCTTTCTGGAACCTCTTAGCTGTTAGATCTAAGGTCATCTGACCCTACGTTGGGTGGACCTTGTAGGATGACAAGGTGGAACTGATTTCCTTGTGGTACCACTGAAATGTACTATATTGCAAGTGATTTCACTCCTGGCTTAGAACATGCACAGCTTGCTATAGTCTCTCAGGTCCCACATACTTTGTCTTAGTACACAAAATGGGATCTGACATGGCACTGGTGGGCATCTTGGGCCACTAAATCCAACCTGCTCCTGCACTGCTTGCTTGGGGTCTCTTGCTCTGTCTCTGCTTGTGGTCAAACAAATCAGCATGTAGGGCAATTCTTTCCCTTGGATTCACCTCCTGAGCAATGGGTGAACCCCCCTCTGCCCACCTGGACACTGGCAGAGCTCCAATTGCTGAATGCTGACCACTGTTTTGGTATCTAGTCACTACAATGTTGCTTTGCTGTCTCTGCTGCTTCCCTATGTCCATGAGTCTCCAGGTACCTTATTGTTAATGCAGAAGTTTTCATGTTTGCTGTAAAACAAACTCAACTAGAGCATATGATGTTGAGTGGAATTAGGCAGCTCCAGAAAGACAAATGCCTCTTGTTCTTCTATATATTTGGTAATTCTTTCTCTTGGGTTCTCTGTTGTACTTTCCATCTGCTTTCAAGTCTCTGTTTATGAGTGCTGCTTGTTTGTTGCCTGGCAGCAATGGGCTTGATGCATGGACAGATAATCAAACATGTGGACTACTGACAGATGGTCAATAGTCTGAGGACAGCATTTTAAAAAATATTTATTTATTTTTATTGGCAAGGCAGATGTACAGAGAGGAGGAGAGACAGAGAGGAAGATCTTCCATCCAATGATTCATTGCCCAAGTAAGCACAACAGCCGGTGCTGTGCCAATCCGAAGCCAGGAGCCAGGAACTTTCCAGGTCTCCCATGTGCAGTGTCCCAAGGCTTTGGGCTGTCCTAGACTGCCTTCCCAGGCCACAAGTAGGGAGCTGGATGGGATAAGAAGTGGAACTGCCAGGATTAGAACCGGCGCTCATATGGGATCCTAGCGCTTCAAAGGCAAGGACTGTAACTGTTACACTATCGCGCCAGGCCCAACGACAGCATTTTTAAATTAAATAGCTCCACACTGGTTTTTGAAAATGAATGCAGACATAGTATCTGATCTAAATTTCTTAAAACCATTAACTCAAAATTTATGGAGTGATAACATATGTAAGACCCTGGGTTAAGCACCTCTGATGATACTTAAGTCTTAGTACCCACCCTGAAGGAATTAATGATTAGTATGGTGATGATTAAAAAATGGTGATGATCTATTAACTCCTGGAAAATCATGCCAAAAATGGTTGGCTTTCTTCATTAATAGTAATACAAATCTACGTCTTTCTTGGCTATAGACATGAAAAGAAAAACAGCACCTGTCAACTAATAATAACTATAAATGCAATTTCTTATATATATTTTAAGTTTTTCTGGTAGCTACAACTTTAAATTTATTTAAATTATATATTTTGTTTGCTTATCAGAGTTACTTGAAAATATTGATACTAGATATGAGCAAAATATTTTATATTCTGTCTTATATTATAATTGAAATCATATGTATGTTTTACTTAGGAACTGTATATATTTCCACTAGCTGCAAGTACTTAAAAAACATATAATTATTGTGAGTACTAAACTAGATAGTACAGGTCTAGTCCATATTCATCCTGTCATGCTCTGGATATTTGATTGTGCTGTGTTCTTTCTGATGCTTGCCCTTATTGTTACCTCAGTGATGAACTTATTTTCAGATGCCAGAATGAGTTTGTTAGTTCAGTTGGATGATGTCTGCAGACCTGATTCCAGTGAGAGCTTCCTATGAAGAAATGCTCTTCTAGACCTTCAGAATCACTTGGAATTCCCCAGACTCTTCCTTTGAAAGACTTCTTTTGAAACTTGTTTTGAAAGTTTCATCATGCCCCAGTGGATATATTTCTCTTGTGGCCTTCCTGCAACTTGAGTCATATATTGAGCAAACATATCTCCCTTAGTATGACTCATCATAAGAAGGCAAAGAGCTTCTAATCAAATACATCTGATTTCAATAAAATCTGAATCAGACTTGCTGCTGCTTGGAAAGTTTTCAAAACATTATAAACTCTCAACATATTTGCAATGAAATTAAATAGAATATCTATCTTACAATATTTCTGTAAAAGGTATCAAAACAATGCATGCAAATGTACATGAAACATTAAGTACATCAGCTGTTAATGAAAAACATTTCAAAAATTGTATCTTCTGTTTATAGTAATATTGAAAGTATGATGTCATTTTAATATTAATTATGCCTAGCATAACAGGTTTTTTCTTTTTATTAAAATTAGCCAGAAGACTTAGTATATAAACTTGCTAAAGCTTTGGACTTGTCATAAAATGAAACCATTAGAATTATACCTGTTATGTAACTGAATTGAAAAAGTCTTGCCTTAGAGTCTAAAATTAGTCCTAGATATTATTATTTCTCTAAACCTCAGCAAACACGTTTAGGACTGACTTTTCCAAAGAAAGCAAGTAAAATATCTGAAATTCTCTGGGCCTGTTGAAGTCTTATTTATGTATTCACAAGCACTTGTAGTTTTTATCTTTTCCTATTGTCTAACAGGAAAAAAAAAGGTTCTTTATTAACCTAAAGCAAACAATTGGTCAAAGCAAAAGACTCAGAACAAAGAATCAAATATGAATTGTTCAGCTTTGTAAAGAGTATTCTTGTTTTTTAGATATGAAGTCTTAATGGGAGAATGGGGTTTAGAATCAATGGAGACTGCCAGAATCTTTTAGAAACAACATAGATTCTGAGAAAATGATATATATATTAATTAGAATCTCATATACACAATTGTAATCATGTGCACAGAAAGGCTGACAGGTCTCACTGGGTTATTTAATGTTTTTGGTAATATTAATATGACAGGGACTTAGACCATTGTGTTATTTTAGGGGTTTCACATTCCAAATTCTGCCACTGTTAAGTTATTTCACTCTCAATTTGATTGTCTCAACAGTCTATTCTACAGTTGCAAACTCAAAACTGCTGTTAGCACTGTTAATACGATAGGTTGTTAGGTATTATTCTGAAAATAGGCTTATTTTAATGAACTAGTCTAGGATCAAGAAATTGGAAGTTGCTTGAAGCTCACAATCAAAATGGTTGTTCTCAAATAGGAGAATGTGAATGTTTCAATTTTCCTTTTATAAAGTATATAAGGGCATAACACTAGAATTTTTTAACAAAAGTGACATTGTTTTAAATTATACCTTTTTATTTTATTCTGATCATCAGAAAAGCTCATTTGCCTCTGAGGCTTTCATATCAAATTATACAGTCCTCAAGAATATGGAAGGGATTCCTACATTGAGGGCTAACTCATGGGAGATCACTGACAGAGGAATATAATGCCTTATCAGATCTGATAAGTGGAAATAGTCAGTGTATTTGAAATCCAGCTTTAGTCGCATACCTGAATTTGAACTCTGATTAAACAGCTTACTAGGTTTGACACTTCAGATTATTCATCTGTAACCTGAACAAAATTATATTTATTTTTTCAGGCTGTTAGAATTATTTGATATGTAAATTACTTTTGCCATTACTGCATGAATCAACTAATTCCTAATAATTAGACAATATGTTATGATAAAGTATGGCTTTAGGCAACTGGTAAAGCCTTGGATGACATTTCCAGAGCAGCTTCAGATGATGAAAAGCAAATCATAACAATTAATGACTACATGAAGGGTGTATTTGATTTTTTTTTCTGTCAGTTTGTGATATAATCATGAGAAATAACAAGGTTGCCAAAACATATACTGACTTCAAATTCCCACATGATGTTTGCCTATAGGCAGTAATCTAGGAGCGATGATAATGGAATTTGTGGATCATTTTTATCTATAGTTGTGTATGAATATGATTCCCTTGTTGGATTTTATGGTGGCTAAAATAATTATCTTACTGTGATGAATTTGGTAATACCAAAGGGATAGAGATTGTTGAAACCTTTAAAGTGCATTAATACGAAAAAAGGTGGTGCCAGCCTTCATGTTTAGAGGATGATATCAGCCCAGAAACCATTTCTGTGGTGAGTGGTCTGTTTGAAGCCTGGGTGTCTATTCTACTCTGGAAGCTCTTGGGAATATTTGTTTGTGCTGTGTTCTTTCTGATGCTTGCCCTTATTGTTACCTCAGTGATGAACTTATTTTCAGATGCCAGAATGAGTTTGTTAGTTCAGTTGGATGATGTCTGCAGACCTGATTCCAGTGAGAGCTTCCTATGAAGAAATGCTCTTCTAGACCTTCAGAATCACTGCCTTTAGTTCAGTCCAAGCTTCCCAATAAAAGACTGAGCATTGCACTAGCCTTTTTCCAGCCTCCCTGTCAGCTTGAGAAGCATTGATTTTTTTTTTCAAATAAATTCCATTCTGGCCTAAAAATCTTTGCCTAGAAAAGCTGTATAATCTCTTGTAGAGTTTTAAGAGTAAATCTGAAAAAGAACCATGCCAGTGACTTTACATTGCAAGGAAAGCCTTGGGTAAACTACTCATGTGCTTCCAAATTCCCTATCCTCAATAAATCAGGTAAGGGCTTTGGAGGTTCACCTATATATGAAGGCAAACTTTGTTGGTTTGATTTCATCTTTGAATTTAAAATGGGATCATCCTTGTACAGAAAGGCCAAATTCCAGATGAAAGATGTTTTGAAATAGTCTCAGAACAGCAGTGTGTTGAACTTGATTACAAGAAACAGAATTGTTACTTTTTTACTATGTTAGTTCTTGTGAATACATACTTAGTTGGTTTTTACTTTGTTAGTTCTTGTGAATACGTACTTGGTTGGATCATTTTTATTTGGAAAG